AGGCGGCGCCCCCCCAAAGCCCCCACCGCCGGGGGGAGCCCCCCCCCCCCCAACCCCCCCCCTCCCCGGGCCAAGAAGCACTGGCAGAAAGTCACTGGGCAAACGCATTCCCACTAATGGGCCGCAGCGGACAACTTGCAGGCAGAAAACCAAAATCTGAGGGGTCACCGGGAAGAGGGGACAGCCCTGGGTAGACGAGATCCCAGCACATCCTTCGCTCACGAGCACAAGTTCTGGCCCTACGTTTTGCATTAAGCAACCTACCTCGAGCCCTCCTCCGCTCTCCCGCTTTTCTAAGTCAAAGACATCTTTTACCAAGCCCGTGACAGCTTCTCCTAGGTGGTCCCCAACCAGATCTCGCTACAGGCAAACAAATAAAGGACAGTCCCCAGCTCGCAGATTCACAGTAAGCAGACAAGAAGAAAACACTCACCTAAAATCTATGGTTTGTGGAATAAAGCGGGACTCGGAGGAAGCAAGCCAACGGCCAGAGGGTTGGGGGTCAGGGCTTCAACAGCTCCTGGCCCCCGAGGCAACTCTGCAGTGTGATGCTCGGCTCGCCCTGCCCAAGTGCACGGGAAGCGCTCGCTGCCCCAATGGCACCGTTGGTGTTTTATGCCTTTATGAGCCTCGGCGCAGTTAAATCCCACCAGATAAACCCAGCTCCGCCAGCAACCTGGCAAAGGTGTGTTGAAATAAGTTGTTTCAACACCGCCTGCTCCAGGCGAGCGGCTCATCCCGGCCGATCCCTGCCGCGGCCCCGTGTTTGTTTAAACGGGAGCATCGGTGCCCGAGCAAAAACACCCTCCGGGGGACGGCATCTCCCCGAGCCTCGGGAGTCACCAAGCAGCCTGCACGACACAGAGCACATACCCATCACCCGGGGGGCTTCCTCCTCCTCCTCCTCCTCCTCCCCAGGGGACCGTAGCTCCCCTGCTTCCCGCCAGCCCCGGGACCATCCCGGCGCTCCCCAGCCCCATCTGCGGTTTCCCGGCCGGCCGGTGCCAGCTCCCCACCGAAGCCGGTCACATGGAGGAGGTTTGCCAATGAGGCAGAATAAACAGCTTCCAAATCACCTCTGAACTGGGGCCCCCACGGGATTTTTTTTCCTCCTCTGGTACATTAAGAAGAATTTATATTTTTTTTTTGCACCTTTCCACGGTTTTGAAAGTAATCTTCCACAGAAAAGTTTTATTACTGCACCTTTCGCTTCCGATAAACACACCCAGGAGCCCCCGGCAGAGCCGAGCCATCGGGACCAGGAGAAATTTCCTCCCACGGCCACCCTCCCTATTTTGCTAAAAAATAAGCGTGGTTTTGCTCCTAATCTGGTCCCGGTGACGGCGGCGCAAGTGGAGGGTTTCCACCAGAACACGCCGCAAAAGACTTTTCGCCAACTTGCCGGGGCACGAGAGCCGGGCGGTAAGTGTCGCCTGGGGCCGAATTCAGACGCTTCAGTGGGTCATGTCCACAATTAGCAGGATAGTGTTTCTATTACCCCTTCCTTTTAAAAAAAAAAAAGAAAAAAAAAACAAAAAAAAAAAAGAAGAGAGGATCCCGACTGCCTGTGCCAAGTGCTTCGCACACGCAGGGCTCGTTTGCCTGGGTATCCAGGTGCCGTTACAGCCAGCCCCGCGCCCACGTCTGCGTCGTAATCCCTTAATGACTTCCCTCCAGCTCCGTCCCCAGATCTAATCTCTCCTCCAGCAGGATCTTTATAAAATAAAACGTGGCGGGCGGACGGGTGGCGTTTTCCTCCGCAGCATCGCGCTGCCGACCTCTGAAGGGAGCAGCTCTCCTCCTCCGCTGCTTCTGCCTCTTAATTCTTCCCTTTCCCTGATGCCGTTCCACTTGCAGACACGTTTTTGTCACGGGCAGTCTGATTACCAGCAACATGTTTTAGCATAGAGACTTGCCTGTACGATTGCCGAAAGGGGGTTAAATTAGGAAAAGTTTAAAAAAAAAAACCTCAAGCAGCATCTTCGCTGTATTTTATACAACGAACACTTGCAGCTGGTGACGGGGGGGGGGAGATTTGGAAGTTTTTCAAGCTGTGCCCAGCCCCATCCTGACCTGCAAGTTATACTTGACTCTAAAAGGTGCAGCACAGCGAGCAGGGGGAGGGGGAAGGTTTTGCAAGATGATAAAAGGGGTGCGAGCCCTTCCCCATACTGCTCTCCCATCAGTTGGCAGAGGAGCGAGCTTTACTGGCCAAAGCCCCCGCGGCTGCTCGGAGGGGCGAGCAGGGCCAGCCCGACAGGGTCGCAAGCCCGACAGCAACTCGCTGCAAACCTGATGTCACGGCCCCTGGTTTTATTTTCAAGCAAGTCGCTACCCCTGTGTTTCTCTCGGGTGCGTCGGGGTCTCCAGAAGTGGCACGCGGAGGATTTTTTACATCATCTGAGGCGAACGATGGGTTTCCAAGTGCATTTGCGGTTTTGTTTTCCCCCTTTTTCTCTCCCTCTCCTGCTAACACAGAGCTCATCCCTCCGTGGGGAAGATGCCCACGGCACGTCCCTCCCAGGGCAGGACCGAACCGTGTGTGTGCGTCCCCCAAGACGGGTTTGCGAGGTGCCCCCCCTGCCCCGCGTAACGGAGGAGCTGGAAATCAAAGAGGACGGGACAGGAAATTTCAAGTTTCCACTTCCAGAAGTGGCAGGTGACACCGTGGTGGCGGCAGGGTCATTTCGGGAGCCCCGGTGCAGAGCGGAGGATAAACCCAGGATCGCCCCCGAGGAGGAGGTGGGACCACCCCCACGCACCCGGGGAGATGCCGGGGTGCCAGCAGCGGGGAGCGTCCCCACGAGACCTCCACAAACCACCTGCCAGCCACAACCCGGGGGCTCTCCCGTGCTTCAAAACCACCGTGGGGAAGGCGGACGAAGGGAGCAAACCACCCCAGCTCTCCCTTCCCTAAATACGAGAATTTCCCTAAATACTTCAGGCTACCAAACCCCGCTCTGCAGCGGGAAACGCGACGCAAAGAGCCATAAACGTGTAACACTTTTAAACGAGCAAAAGAAAAGCCGGGGACCTCTGGGCTCTCCCGCCTTTCTCCGGTTGGAAGAATGAGCCCCGGCCCCGGCTGGGGGCACGGCTCCCCCCCCACCTTGCTGCTACAAAGGCAAACCCAGCACCGCACCTCTCCTTCTCCGGCCTCGCTCCCTCCTTCCACCCTCCCCACCGGACCGACAAGAAAAGAGGAAAGGGGGTGGGGGGGAGAAGAAGGAAAAAAAAAAAGAAATAAAAGGAGAGAAAAACCTGAAAGGCAGAGCGCCTTGCCACCCCCCTTTCCCCCAGCCCCACAGCGAGACACAAACATCAGCAGACTCAAAGCATCCCCCTCTCCAGCGGCAGAAAAGAAAAGCTCCCGGGCTCTCCGGGCAGCAACTTCACAACTGAGTGCACTCGCATTCCTGTCGGGTTATTAGGAGAGAAAGGGCGAGGGCCCGGAGTAGATATTTTAGTGTCACTTGATTTTATTTATTGCACAGATTTCTTT